CTCTCACATGGAGTGATTCAACTAAAATCTTAGTGTGCTTTGCTAGTATTTTATTATTTTTGCATTTATTATTGCTTTCGCACTACTGCTTCTAGTGTCTGGCGAGCCTTGGAAACAAGCTTCTCCTGTCAATCTCGTGCTCGGGCTATTCAACTGCGTACTGACTTAGCCAATGCTCGAAAAGGAGCCTTATCTGCAAGTCACTTTATGCGAATTAAGCGCATAGCAGATGAACTAGCAATTGCGGGTCAAGCACTCAAATGCGATGAAATAATCGCGTATCTCCTCGCTGGACTTGGCAATGATTATGACTCCTTTGTCACTACTATTTCAGCTCACAGTAAACCAGTCACTTTAGAAGAAGTGTACTCTCTTCTCCTTACTATGGAGTCCCGCTTGTCCCACACAAATCAACCTTTGACTCAAGCATCTGTGAATGTTGCTTGTTGGTCCCAGAGTTGATATAATCTTGAATTTAAAGGTTTATTCTCGAATCAAAAATATTTCAGAATAAAATAACGTAAACAAAATTCGAACACAAGATATGTTTTGCTCCAAAATGGAGCTCGGATGCTCCAAAATGCTAAAGATCCATTTCCCAGGTCAATAAGATACACTATTATTGCCTTCTCAATTCATAACCATTCAAGTGAAAGAAGCAACAGCCAACATGCACCACTAATTTACAAAACTGATATTGGTGACGTCGAAAATTGCTGAAACATTCAAGTTGAAATCAAACCAAGTTTTATGTTCAGCCTTCCATACCCCCGATCTCATTATCAGTGCTTTGATTGGAAATAAATTAAATTTATGGAGCATATAATTATGTCCACGTTTGGTTTAGCGAAAAATTAGACTTTATAGTAGATTTTGACGAAAGTCAATAAAATTTGTCATTGAAAAGTTGAAATTTATGGATCTCATAAAATGCATCGCTAAAGATGATTTTGAGGGAAAACTGAATTAAAAAAAGGGGACCAAACAGGTGTTATGCCTGCATACCTTGATTACATAACTCTATTTATTGAAAAATTACGAAATTTAGTAGACAAGCTTCGAGTTTGGATGGTGTGACAGTTGTAAGTGGTCAACATCTCTGCTAAAATTTGAGATGATTGTGCAAACTTGTGGCGTAGCTAGAAGACACTTAACGTTACTGTGACAATTGTTAGTGATCAAAGTATCTACTGAAGTTTGAGATGATTATGCAACTTTTGGAGTATAGTTAGAAGGCATTTAATGTCGTGTCATTATTATAGCATGTAATGAATCCACGTAGTCTTCTAACACCGGTAATTGTTATAGCATTCTATGAACTCTAACATAAGTGACTTCCTTTTTTCTTTTTTCTTTTTTTTTTGACTATCGATAACGTTGACATTGAGACTTGAGGCAAGCTAAGCAAGGCTGTTTTGTACATTAAAACTCTGTTGGTCGTCACCCTTGAATTGCTTTCCTTGCAGTTATACCTTCAAACTAGCCTTACTTCAACACAGCTCTTACGAATCTTTAATCTAATATGGCATATGCCTCAGTTTATTCATGTATGTCACCAAACTATTACTAATTTTGCATATGCTTTACACTTATTATCGATGATAATGAGCAATCATTGCATTAGAAAATAAAAAGGGTTCTAAGCACCTCTTCTTTACAAATTCTTCCGAACCATTGTAACTATGCCCATCATGAAAGTCATTACCACGGTAACCAGCTGGTTGCTTTGTCCTTCAGAAGACCTTTTAAGTATCGCCATCCGCTGGGAAATAATCTGTGGGTACAGGTTGGGCAACAGAAAAACATGTTAAAAACATAAAAGCGATTCGACTACTTCCCTACATTTTTATGAGAATCTTCATATTTGTACCAATGGAAACAAATGATCTTATTCTGGGACTCATGTATGATGGGATGAAAGAGACAATTGTTGAACTGTATGGAACGTAATCAAATTGACACAGAAAAGGAAACCAATAATCGTCCGTATGAACAGTTCTCGAAGAGTGGGCGAATATTGAGCTTTCATACATGAATCAGTTCGTCAAAATTTTCTTACAATAAAGAAATATTTACTGGGGATGTTTTCGTTTGAGACACAGATTGAAGAGGCATGAGAAAATTTCGTGCTCATCTTCTTCATTATAATGAAAACCTACAGCAGCTAGCGAACGCATCTCTCACATGGAGTGATTCAACTAAAATCTTAGTGTGCTTTGCTAGTATTTTATTATTTTTGCATTTATTATTGCTTTCGCACTACTGCTTCTAGTGTCTGGCGAGCCTTGGAAACAAGCTTCTCCTGTCAATCTCGTGCTCGGGCTATTCAACTGCGTACTGACTTAGCCAATGCTCGAAAAGGAGCCTTATCTGCAAGTCACTTTATGCGAATTAAGCGCATAGCAGATGAACTAGCAATTGCGGGTCAAGCACTCAAATGCGATGAAATAATCGCGTATCTCCTCGCTGGACTTGGCAATGATTATGACTCCTTTGCCACTACTATTTCAGCTCATTAGAAGAAGTGTACTCTCTTCTCCTTACTATGGAGTCCCGCTTGTCCCACACAAATCAACCTTTGACTCAAGCATCTGTGAATGTTGCTTGTTGGTCCCAGAGTTGATATAATCTTGAATTTAAAGGTTTATTCTCGAATCAAAAATATTTCAGAATAAAATAACGTAAACAAAATTCGAACACAAGATATGTTTTGCTCCAAAATGGAGCTCGGATGCTCCAAAATGCTAAAGATCCATTTCCCAGGTCAATAAGATACACTATTATTGCCTTCTCAATTCATAACCATTCAAGTGAAAGAAGCAACAGCCAACATGCACCACTAATTTACAAAACTGATATTGGTGACGTCGAAAATTGCTGAAACATTCAAGTTGAAATCAAACCAAGTTTTATGTTCAGCCTTCCATACCCCCGATCTCATTATCAGTGCTTTGATTGGAAATAAAACAATCTGACAAGTGGTTTAGATTCTTGACTTGAAAAGCAAAAAACAACTTATTCTTCTTCTCAGCGTAGGCTAAGAATTCATCTTGTCGGCCATCTTCCAGAGACTGCAGATTGGATAATTATTAATTTTTTCGGGCGAAAGATGAGAGTGCTGACAAGTTTTCACTTTATCGCCTTATGGAATCAAAAGAAGAGTCCTCAGAGAGCACTATAACACTTCGTCTAAAATATGAACAATTCGACGAAATAAATATTAGTGTGATTTATTCCTTTTCAGCAGATGTGTGGACGGGTATCAAGTGTTTTGGAAACTAGTCCAGCCCAGCCAAGCCAGTTAGAACCAAAAGTGGAGAAGTGAACCATTCAGTTTTTAGTGTTAATATCATTGACATGACAGAACTTTAATGTTTGGTTATCGATATGTTTCTCGTCCATATATTGATGAAAATTAACTTGTGGCAGAAAATCTCCTATTTTTAACCTTCAGTTTGATTTTGGTTCAACCTTATGGCCATCGACTCTATACCTTTATTCAAGTTAATGTCCAGGCTTGATTTAGAAAAATAATCATGCTACAGTGACTGAAAATGGTTGACATGTAACCTGACCGACACTCACAATGGCAAGGTCCACTTTTATTTTGGACTTCTTTATTCATGCGGAATCCATGCGACATGCGAGAGGATGTCAACCATTATGTAAAAAAAATTCTGGCAAACAAGCAAAATTCTTAAAACAACAAAATTTTACTTGGAAAATCAAGAGCAACAGGGAATGAATACTTTTCTCATTTCTGAAAGCTCTTGCTCCACTCTATCAGCTCGATTCAAGGCAGCAATCAGCATTTCCTCCTCCTCAGGTGGCAAAGCAGGCGATGATTTCTTGCTGAGAAAATTCGCTTGCTCCTCTGCGCTCGATCATCCTTAAGAAATCAGCACCAGAAATGGCAGTTAGCATCCACATGCTTCCTTGGCATGTTATTTGTCATGCGAACCATTGTAACTATGCCCATCATGAAAATCATTCCTCATTACCACGGTAACTAGGGCTGGGCAAATCTCCCGAACCGAATCGATCGAACCGAATCGAACCCGACGGTTCTTGTTAAATTAAATACCCGAACGGGTATCTGAATTGAGAACCGACGGGTACGGTTCGGTTCTCGGTTCTAGACCAAGAACCGAAAAATCGAAAAAGAACTGAATTTTTCTAATTTTTTTTTATATTGAATAAATCAAATTATTTTAATTTTAATTTTTTCTAAACAAATTAACAATTTCTAAATCCAAATTTTTTGCCCAATAATTTGTTTCATTTCTAATTTTTTTAATTTTTGACCTAATTACCCGTTTTATTGTCTCATTTCTTAGCCCAACAAGATCCAACCCACTAAATAACCCTAAACACTTACACTAAAGTGCATAACGCTGTCTCGATTCTCGTAACCTCGCTGACTTTCCAAAATCTATACAATCGTCGACCGACGCTGTGACCTTTGCCAACCGAAATTTTGACCGTAACGATCATTTGAACAATGTGGTATACTAGTCTCTAACATTTCAAAACCATTGAATGTGTCATTAGTTGTATTTATATAATGTTGTTATAAATATTAAAAAATTTAATTATAGTACAGAATCGAACCGAAGCCGAACGGTTCCATAATTATATTTGGACCCGACGGTTCCATTTACTAAATACCCAAAAATTTTGGTTCGATTCGGTTCGATTCTCTTTAGAACCGAACCGAACAGACCCGTGCCCACCCCTAACGGTAACCAGCTAGTTGCTTTGTCCTTCATAAGACCTTTAAGTATCGCCATCCACTTGGAAATAAGGTTGGGCAACAGAAAAACATGTTAAAAACGTAAAAGCATTCGACTACTTCCCTACATTTTTATGAGAATCTTCATATTTGTTCCAATGGAAACAAATGATCTTATTCTAGGACTCATGTATGATGGGATGAAAAAGACAATTGTTGAACCGTATGAAGCCTAATCAAACTGACACAGAAAAGGAAACCAATAATCTTCCATATGAACAGTTCTCGAAGAGTGGGCGAATATTGAGCTTTCATACATGTATCAGTTCGTCAAAATTTTCTTACAATAAAGAAATATTTAGTGGGGATTTTTTTGTTTGAGGCACAGATTGAAGAGGCATGAGAAAATTTCGTGCTCATCTTCTTCATTATAATGAAAACCTACAGCAGCTAGTGAACGTATCTCTCACATGGAGTGATTCAACTAAAATCTTAGTGTGCTTTGCTAGTATTTTATTATTTTTACATTTATTATTGCTCTCACATCTATTAAAGAGTACAACTATGTACCTTTAGAAAGAGCAGAGTTATCTATTTTCACTGCTTGTGACCGTGTTGCATCGATGGCCTTATTGACGATTATGACACTACCTGCAGATAATTTCTAATTAATTTTGAAGAAACTGTATAAATAAAAGTGAATGTGTCGTGAAATTAACTATTAGAGTTGAAGGAAATATTAAACTAACTTTACAAAATCATTTGTTGGAAATGACTGAGGATAGAATGAAATCAAGGACAGAGAAACTATTTTTTATCTCAGTAAATATATGTATCCTTCATGTTAGTCGTCTCTGCAACATGCTTCTAAATCATCCAACTTTAAAGAGACCATCAAGAATTCACTGTAAATTTCATGCTTCAGCTAGTGCATTGGATATATATACTTAAGGAGCAACTTTTTTTTTAAATTTTGACTTCACCTACTTCCTCACATGAAGGCCGGATTTATATATTCATCGACAAGTTAACATAGACTTGAACTCATAATTTTTGCCTACTCTGATACCATATTGAACCATATCGTCTAAAAGCTAGAGTTGATATAGAGGGGAAAAACTTAAAACACATGATGAAAGCTGTTGCAGCTTACTTCTTCAAGAACAGATGAGAACCATGGACATGCTATGTTTTCCCTTGAACCCGGAAGAGAATATGTTCTCAACTTGAAAGATTTGTTTTTCACATTCTCATCCTCTGAAATCATTTTCTCCTCCACGGCGACTGTTTTATTACCACATTTGTGCGCACCATTACATACCATCTGTGTAGTTAAAAACTTAAAATAAATAATGGACTTTTAACATTTTCTCTCAGCCATAAGAGAGAATTGAACTTCGAATCAAAGAGCATAATATTAGATAAATGTAATAACCTTCATAATCTCTGGATCTTCCCAATGACCCTTATCAGAACGCATACATCCACCTATATGTGCACAGGTGCATGTACCGCCCAGGTAGCTCACTGATACAAGATGAAAACAGCAGATGGCATTTGAACTTTTTTGAAAAGAATAGGTCCATTTGGCAGCTAGCACATATAATTGTTTAAGTGCATGTTTAGCATATAGTATTTTGAAGGACTTGACAACACGATGAACAAAATTTTAGTGTTTTTTCCTCTCACTCTTCCAATTTTCTAAGCAATCCTCCTTACCATTTATGCCACAATGGCACTAACATCATAGTATCATACCCAATTTTGGATTTCCTATGCTTATAACCTAGGTTTCAAATGATTCGAAGAACCAACATCCATCATATAAGTTATCTAGCATCAATAATCCCAAGCAGTTTGCTTTGAAATTTGTTACCAAAAACCTGGTAAGACGAAACCTCCCAAGTTTCATTACTTTGATGGTAGCAGCATACAAGTGATTATTAGTGAGCTGAGCTCCCGTTTGGGCCACATTAAATTTCATTTTATTTTTCTCTATTTTATTTTCAAGCACGCAATCTTCCATAAAATAATATTATATGTAAATCGAAATTTTTTTCTTATTTTTCAACTACTCATTGTTCAATAAAATACTATTCTACCCATTTTCATTTCAAAAAATGGGGGCCAAACGGGGCTGAATATAGCTTATATGGATCTTGGCAGTGGTGTTTGGGTCAAGGAATGACTTGACGGTGTTCCTTAAGAACCTAAATCCAGACCCCGCATTGACAATGTACATGCGGCATAAGGTCACCAGAGAGAAGCAAAGAATTGATCAAATGGTCGCCAAGATAACAAAAGCTACTATGAAGTGAAAATAGGTACATCACTAACGAACTTCCTCTCTCTCCTTGAAATCTCGTTCCTAGGTGATAATGAAAATCAGGTCAGCGTATTATGTTTACTAAAATTACGACCTTTCTCAAATCTTTGATGATGAGATATCTCAAATAAAGTATCTGCAGCATATTTATATCACCAATACCTTCATAATTGTGTCAGAACCAAAATCTTTCCTCCAGTGAATCATATCAGACCACATTTGCTTCGTTTCCTCAATATCAAATTCCCTTGCCTTCAAAAACCTGTTCAGCCCGATAAAACTATAGGAACCTGGCTGCAGTTTTCTTATCTTTTAGAACTAAAGTCTTTGGCGTCATTGTGAAGAATGTGATTTATGGACAAAATAAAAATCTACATGAAAAGTTTCTTCATTGCATACAAATTCTGCAGCATAAGCAAATAACAACCTAATCTTCAAACTCGAGAAGTTTTCTTTAGCAATGGTATTAAAACTTAAAAATAATTAGGCTTATAATCTATACAAGCTCGAGTAAAAAGAATACAGTTTCTCAAACTGCAAATCTCAATTCTCAAGGTATTCACCAAGCAATAGATAATTAAAATTTGCACTCCTTGTGCGATTTAAATTGCTTCTATTGAACTAAAAAGGTGTGTACATTGCAATGATTGCATCCATCTCAAAACCATAACTGTTCTAGTTATAGTTGCAGACCAGTTTATACCAGAACACCGGCAGTAAAGAATCTTGGAGACCGTGTAAGCAAGAAGAAGGTTACCTTAGCATCATATGGTAGTCATCGTGTTTTTCAGGCAGTAACTCTTTCAGGATAAGTTCTTGACGCTAGGCATCCAGACTTCAGTTCCTCCGGGTCATGTTCATCCTCGAATACTACACATATAACTTTAACTTTGCTGCTGCTCCTCCTCCTCCTCCTCCTGGTCAAAGATTGTCAGAACTTTGAGGAGGCATCAATTGCCTTCTTCTTGAAAGACCCAAGAATTGTGTTCTCGTTATTCTCAGAAATTTCCGATTTTGTGACCTGAAATACATGCAATCTGATTACCAATTGCTAGTCGTCTGCTCGTTCTTTCATGTCAAAGCATTAGCTGAAAAGGTTGAGATCCAGTGAAGCAACTAAAGAATTTTATTTGGAGGGTTAGGATAAGAATGGAAAGCCCTTACTCGGCGTGGCAGAGCACTCGAGAGACGCTGACATAGTGTCACTGGCGAGTTTTATATTCCTCTGGACTTTACATTTAACTAGAAATCTAATATTCATAAATTATCTCACTCGACTAAAGTTAAAACAAACAATGGCAGAGAATCAGTAGAGTAAATATCTCTAATCAGTAGATATATATCTGACGAGTCAGTATTTGCATGATAAAAGACAAAAGGCTATCAAACCTTACCGGAAACCCTTGTTAGCAATTTCATCAAGCACGTGATGGAAATAATAACAAACAAAATGGTTAATTGTATCAATCTCCCCATCTAGATGAAAAAGTTGTGCCAGCTTCAGGGATGAAAAACCTTGCTCAACCCAAAAGCTCAATTAATTTTGAGAGTAAAAGTAAACTGCAAAAGAGGATTTGGAGAAAAAATTTCTCCAATTTTAACATGGTGTGAGTGCGAAAATTTTTCGTTGTTATGCTGATTCTACACCTAAATCTAGCAATTTGTGAATTCGAATCAAAAGGATGTGGTAATGATCCACTACAAAATCAATTTTAGCATGAGAAAATTACAATTCCGATTTTTCATATGAATACTTTTTGAGAAAAAAATGCACTATGGGTCTTCGATATATGGCACCTTTTTGAGGAAATTATAGGAAATGACCGGATAACCCGATGCTATTTCCAAAGTAACATTTGACCCCTTTATTTAATTTTAAAAAAAATCGAATTTAAAGCTTAAAATTTCAAAATACTCCTCACAAAATCGACTCTCACAAAAGCGACTCTCGCAAAACTGAAAATCACAAAACCGACTCTCACAAAACTGGTCGAAGCAAGGTTGATCTATCGCCGACGAAGTCTTGTTAAGGTAAGTTACCGTTGGTTGGTTTAATTTTTAGATTTTGGAGATTTTTTCAATGTATTTTTTTTATATTAGTAAAATAGGGTTTATATAGTGTAAATAAAATATTGGTTGTTTGAATTTGGAAGCTTTCCTCGTCGAAAATGGTGCAACTGGCCATTTTGGTTAAAACCCGACTGTTAACAATCGGGTAGCAGTGGTATTGGGCTGGCTTAACAGTCTGCCCAATACCTACTGCAATCGGTGTGGGCCGACTATTTTAAGTCGGTTTGCGGCCCAAAATAGTTAACAGTCGGCCCACTTTTTTTTTCTGGCCCAATTTTTTTCACAAATAATTTAATAATTTAATTTTAAAATCTTTTTATTATTTGGTTTTAATAAATAATAAATTATTTAGTTTGTCGAATTTAAATAAAATTGTTACGACTAAATTTAAATAAAATTTTTACATTTAATTTTTTTTTAATATTTATTTTTTTTTTCATTTTTGGTAAATAATAACTTGAAATAATTGTTGGGAAATTTTTAATTGTAATTTGAAATAATTGTTGGAAATTTAATTTGAAATTTAATATTTATTTTTATTTTGTGATAATTGGGAAAAATTGATAATATGATAATTGGGATAATTGGGAAAATTGACATTATTGATAATAGGATAAAAAAAAATCACATTATTGAAGATTTTAATTATTATGAACCAGCATTTTGCGTATTGTAGTTACAATTTCATTCGCTAAATTTTCTGTTATTACTATTATGACTTGTACAATATTCTAACATTTTTAATTTGTACATGATGGATTATCATCTTGACGCAGAGTTGAGACAGATGCCAGATAAAGCTACGTGGAATAGTAGCTTTAATAGTTTCACAGCTGTGTTAGAGCTGCTTGATATCAGCATACTGATATGCTGCGCCAGTCCTTCCTGTGGCCCTTGTACCCATTGAGAGATCTGCAATACTCGGGTCAGATTATTGATGCATTTCTATGTCGATTGCTGAGTCCAGTCGACAGCGATGCTCTCCACTTCACAATCCGAGGTAAAATCGTCAGTTTTTCGATGTTCGAGTTTGCTCTGATCACGGGATTAAAGATTACGGGTGATGAACTAGCTGCTGATGAGACTTGGAGAAGAAATAGGCTTGATGACGCTTACTTCGAGGGACAAGGTACTGTGTTCCTTACACAGCTTTTGGACGCAATCAGGAAGTTGATCAGATATTAGACAGACTGAAATTAGGGTCTGGTCTACATCCTTGAGAGCGTGGTGCGGTGTCACCATAAGAAGACTGCGATCGACCTCTTCCGTCTGGAGATTGTTGACGACATCGATCGTTTCAACGACTATCCATGGGGTCGGAGATGTTTTGAGGACACTGTGCACGTCTTCACCAGATCGCACTCGAAGTCGAAGGGAGCCATGCGTAAGTACGACACCTATGGATTGTCCCTGGCGGTGCAGGTAAATGGTTAACATAATGAATGTTAAAATTATTTTCATATTGAATTTATATATAATAATTGTATGTGTTACAGATCTGGGCGTATGAGGCCGTCCCATATTGGGTGTCCAATTTGCGAGGTGAGGGGAGACATGCTGCCCTCGGATGCACCATTGGAGAGCATCTCGATCGGAGGGATGTCCCACTGGGAAACAGTTATCGGCTATCCTGGACGACCCTCGAGTGAGTATTATGCATTTGTAATTTATATTGTGCGTGATTTAACATCTGATTGCATGATCGTTAACTAGTTCAAATATTAATATGTCAGCTTAAAGTCATAATTGAGTTGACGCCGTCGATGGAGGAGGAGGTTCAGGGTCTTGTGCGTGAATTAGGCGTTTCCAAAGACGACTATATGTCCGATCCGATCCACGATCGAGATTGGGTGAGCGAATTAAATAAAATCTATTGATTAACGTTTTGTATGAGTTAGCATTTACGGATGAAGTTAATAATTTGTAATGTTGTTGCTTGTATAGAAGCGTGATCCAGTTGATCGACAATCACCTCCGTTGAGAGCATCACCACCTCCGCCGAGGGCATCTCCTCCTTCGCCGGAGATGCTGCCGACGGCATCTCCTCCGTCTCCCCTGTTCAGAGACCTCTCATGTGGATCTCCCGCACGTAGTCAGGGGCACTATTTTGACGATCTGTACACCTGTCTGAGCAGACTTATAGAGGGGTAGGTCAATGGGCTGCGTCGAGAGATGAAAGAGAGGGTTGATGATCTGGGACGACAGTTGGTAGGAAGGGTGGAAAGTTTGTCGAATGAGATTGCAGCACTTCGGGGTGATATAGCCGATAGGCGATAGGTTGATGGAGACGGTGATCAAGAGGGTGATAGAGATGGGGGTGATAGATATGGGAGTCTTCGACAGTTATACATACATGATGATGATGCATGGAAATCTATTATTTTATCTGTGAAGCGCGATGGGATGGGAGTAGTGACAGAGGAGGGGGGCCCGTCGGGGAGGGAGACGGAGGCAGATGAAGGAGTGGCCTCGTCGGGGACGGAGATAGTGGCAGATGGGGAAGTGGCTCCGTCGGGGACGGAGATGGAGGCAGATGTTGGAGTGGCCCTGTCGGAGACCGTGGCAAATGAGGGGATGGAGGAGGTAGCGAGCCCTGGTTTTACGAGGTGCCTTTCTTCTTGGCACAGAAAGGGACACCGTGCGACAGTAGTCTGCTCCGCTAGACTACCTTCTGCCTTTTCTCGGTCGCGTCGGGATGAAAGAAAATTTGATTGCAATTTTGTAGAAAACTTACAATAGAGAATTTGAACACATTAAAAGTAAATTGAACATTGATTGACGAAAATTGAACATTACAATTGATGAAAGCAGAAAATTACAAATGTTGGTGCAGGGGGCGGACACCAGTGAGTTTGAAAGATTTTTGAAT